GGATCTACACTGTGTGTTTGAAGGATATATCCAGGATGTCAAACTGACTCAGCAGCAACAACAGGTTAAAAAGACAAAGATAGTTAGAAGCTAAAGCCGAACTATAGGCTACAGATCACAGTGTAAAAGTGAACCACCACATCACTGCTGATCGCCACACAAGACAATGAATATAAAGGGAAACTTTGCTGATATGAACCAGCTGTGTGGCATCACAGTGTGTGCAGATGAACGGTGTTTGGCTCCGCCCCCATGCTGCAGTCAGCACTGATCTCCGGGGGGCGTCAGTTTCCCTGCTGGTCTGAGCTGGCTGATGCTACATTATAATTGGCTAGTCTGTGTCCAGGGGCGGGACTTAGCGAAGGGTCAATCACCCACATGGGTGGGTGTCCTCAGGTTGGCCCCACATGGGTTATTCTAGTGCCACCTGGGTACCAAGAGGTTAGAGGTCCAAAATGGGCATCTTATATGGGGCCCACTTGGATAATCCCCCATGTGGTCAAATGGCACAGGGCCTATATTGAACTTGTGGACAGTCCCATTGGGGGCCCATTTTTCAGCCTATTTACTACCCACATGGGCCCCACATTCAAATGTAGGAACTAGCCTCAGGCAGCTTAACCAATAGCACACTAGCAGTAAGGCAAGGCAATTTTATTTATACAACACCATTCATACACAACAGTAAGTGTGCAAGAGAGTTTTTCGGAAACCTTTAAGTGGCCTCTTACCCAAGTGCTTGATTACCTCCTTTATCGTCTCAGTAAAAAAATAAAAGCAGTCTGTCAAGCTCTGTTTGGCCACCCTGAAAATTGACCCCAAAACCTGATCACATTTTATGGCTGAAACTTGTTTATTTATGATTAATAATGTTCGTAGTTTGATATGGTAACAGATTTCACCAATTTCAGCAACAGTAACAAGATAAGACGCTGTTAATTAGGATGTTCTTGACTGAAGACATTGGGACTTTATTATCGTCTCGTTTAAGGATACTGGGACTTTATTATTGTTGACAATGTTTAGGTTTTTTTTTTTTTTTTACTTATTGGGTCCTACTGAGCCCAAATAGCTCGGAGAAATTAAAAACAGCATACTAAACAAAAGTTCAGGTCTCAGGAGGATATACAATTTTGGCAAATAGATGTCCCTAAATCTCCCACACTGTGCCCTTAATGGTATTGTTGCAGTAAGTCGAGGGTGTTGGTTTCGTTTCAATATTTTGGGGGACAGATTTGAAACGGGGGGTCAGGGATCCTCTGCCAGAAAATTTGGTGTGTCAAGGTCTTAGTTTCCTGCATTCTAAATGTAAATGTTTATGAAACAATTTATGGTATAAATGTCTTTAAGTCCTCTACTATTTTCATGTTGCAAGCACATGTTCTAATTACTGAGGGCAACATCCCTAACCTGGAAATCCAGATGCCCCGCCCCTAGCAATTTCGAATTTGCTCTGCACGGGGATCTGGTCCCGACGAGCAGAGCCCGGTGAATCGCCATCGGACCAATCAGATCAGTCTATCTGACAGAGGCGGGCTCTGGGCAGGCATGATAAGGACAGCGCTGCGCCGTAGGAGTCGAAAAGTAAACAGACAAAATGGCAGCTGCAGAAGGACCGCGTCATTTAATTTAGCTTTGGAAGAAACGCTAAGCCAACTACACTTATCTTTTTCCTTGAGAGAGAAACAGAAGGCTGCCCTAGAAGCCTTCGCTTCCAGGAAGAACTTTTTTGACGTTTTTCCAACAGGATACACCAAAAGCATAATATATCAGTTAGCCCCACTGGTCGGCAAACCAATGGGGCACCAATAGTGACAGGAACAGCATTATGTCATTAAGAAGTACAGAAGCAAAATCATGAGGTGGAGGTCAAACGTCTCTTCTTCCTTTATCACTGATTATTACTGAATTATTTTACTGCTGCAGCCTTTGATACTCGGTCAGAAGTAACTCGTATTTTGAGATCATGACACAGCTATCCACTCAACACAACTGTAACATACACCAGTCTGCATAAAAATACATCTATTGTACAAGGTAAAAATTTACACTGTATTCCAGATTACTGACATTATTTTTACTGAACTGATCAGGAAGCCTCCCTGTGTCCATAACACACACTGCACACAGAGTCAACAACCAGCTGGAAGAGCTCAAGCTCCAGCCTTGTTTTTCACTTCAGAGGTTGTGAGAGGTCACCAGCGTTATGCAACACTATGGGGCCTTTTTTTGTCCAACTTCCCCCTCTCCTTATCAGATAACATGAGACACATCCTGTCTGCAGGAGCAAAAACATTTCACAGTGAGCCTTTTGTAGTCACTCATTGTTGAGAATTGGGACAATACCTTACTTTTTGGGTTTTTAATTTTTACTCTTCATTAATGTTGGGAAAATATATTTTAAAAGATCAGCTTCTTAACGATTAAACCGTTTAATGAGCCAACCTCCCAGTAATTTAATTTTTTCTCATATAGTGTACATGATGAGTATCAGAGATCTGGCGGAGCTGATGTCTTATGTTATTGACAAGAAGTTATATATTGATTTATTTCACAGCAGTCATAGTGATCAGCCATTTTATTTTTCAAAGTTGCTCAGAGTTGGCAACATTATTTAATGCAGTGGTTCCCAAATGGTGGGTCGTGATCCAAAAGTGGGTCCCGGGTGGACTCTGAATGGACAGCAAATGACTCGCAAATTTGTCAAGTTTGTAAAAAAAGTTTTATTTTGAAGTACAGTGAATTTCCGGCACAAGCTCTTATTCTGAAGTGCCGTTTCCTGCTGTAGAGTGAGTGAATAACCACAGTAGACAGCAAAGTAGCTCGACAACATGGCCAAACGCAAGTATGACATTGAATATATTAAACTTTGTGGTAGTTGATAGCATATCATAGGACTCAATCTCAGGCCACCTGGGCCCGAAAGTGTTTCCTTGGATGTGGTTCCAGAGAACGCACGCTCTTTCATTACAGGTCCAATAATAATGTCAAAAGACAGAGAGGCAAAGACCCTGTCAGCCATGGGCTTCTGTAGGTGTGTCTCAGAGATGCCAGAAGGCTTGTTGGCCCAGACAAAGGGCATAATGATGGAGTCTAGAGTCTTAAAAGAAGATGTGAAGTAGATAGGGATGTTCTGAAACAGATAAAGAAATTTGGGAAGAACCACCATCCTAACATTATTCACACAACCTATTAAAGAAAGACGAAGAAGTTTCCATTTATCTATTATCATTGTTATTAAAGACAACTGTAGTTAGACACATGCCCGCAATAACCAAATGGATCCCTTACCGACTCGTTGACTCAAGCCCTAAGCCCTTACAGACCTAGGACCAATTCCATTTCTTCCCCCTATCTTGGCCCTTCCCCTTGGTTTTGCACATTCACGTGAGGGGAAGTGGTGTCCCAATTAAGAGCTCAGGTTAAGAGCTAAGCTGACGTAGATTTGGGACACCACTTCCCCTCACGTGAACGCGCAAAACCAAGGGGAAGGGCCAAGACAAGGGCTAAGGGGAAGAAATGGAATTGGTCCTAGGTCTGTAAGGGCTTAGGGCTTGAGTCAATGAGTCTGTAAGGGATCCATTTGGTTATTGGGGGATGGACTCTTTGTGTTGGTGATGGTTCAGTTTGGGGCAGGCGGTGGATTATCGTGGTACGGCACAGAGGCGGTAAGGTTTGGGACACAGAGTGGNTATCAGATAACATGAGACACATCCTGTCTGCAGGAGCAAAAACATTTCACAGTGAGCCTTTTGTAGTCACTCATTGTTGAGAATTGGGACAATACCTTACTTTTTGGGTTTTTAATTTTTACTCTTCATTAATGTTGGGAAAATATATTTTAAAAGATCAGCTTCTTAACGATTAAACCGTTTAATGAGCCAACCTCCCAGTAATTTAATTTTTTCTCATATAGTGTACATGATGAGTATCAGAGATCTGGCGGAGCTGATGTCTTATGTTATTGACAAGAAGTTATATATTGATTTATTTCACAGCAGTCATAGTGATCAGCCATTTTATTTTTCAAAGTTGCTCAGAGTTGGCAACATTATTTAATGCAGTGGTTCCCAAATGGTGGGTCGTGATCCAAAAGTGGGTCCCGGGTGGACTCTGAATGGACAGCAAATGACTCGCAAATTTGTCAAGTTTGTAAAAAAAGTTTTATTTTGAAGTACAGTGAATTTCCGGCACAAGCTCTTATTCTGAAGTGCCGTTTCCTGCTGTAGAGTGAGTGAATAACCACAGTAGACAGCAAAGTAGCTCGACAACATGGCCAAACGCAAGTATGACATTGAATATATTAAACTTTGTGGTAGTTGATAGCATATCATAGGACTCAATCTCAGGCCACCTGGGCCCGAAAGTGTTTCCTTGGATGTGGTTCCAGAGAACGCACGCTCTTTCATTACAGGTCCAATAATAATGTCAAAAGACAGAGAGGCAAAGACCCTGTCAGCCATGGGCTTCTGTAGGTGTGTCTCAGAGATGCCAGAAGGCTTGTTGGCCCAGACAAAGGGCATAATGATGGAGTCTAGAGTCTTAAAAGAAGATGTGAAGTAGATAGGGATGTTCTGAAACAGATAAAGAAATTTGGGAAGAACCACCATCCTAACATTATTCACACAACCTATTAAAGAAAGACGAAGAAGTTTCCATTTATCTATTATCATTGTTATTAAAGACAACTGTAGTTAGACACATGCCCGCAATAACCAAATGGATCCCTTACCGACTCGTTGACTCAAGCCCTAAGCCCTTACAGACCTAGGACCAATTCCATTTCTTCCCCCTATCTTGGCCCTTCCCCTTGGTTTTGCACATTCACGTGAGGGGAAGTGGTGTCCCAATTAAGAGCTCAGGTTAAGAGCTAAGCTGACGTAGATTTGGGACACCACTTCCCCTCACGTGAACGCGCAAAACCAAGGGGAAGGGCCAAGACAAGGGCTAAGGGGAAGAAATGGAATTGGTCCTAGGTCTGTAAGGGCTTAGGGCTTGAGTCAATGAGTCTGTAAGGGATCCATTTGGTTATTGGGGGATGGACTCTTTGTGTTGGTGATGGTTCAGTTTGGGGCAGGCGGTGGATTATCGTGGTACGGCACAGAGGCGGTAAGGTTTGGGACACAGAGTGGTTCCTAACTTGTAATCCAGACTGGGCTGCTCTCCAGCAGGTGCTGAGAAAGAAAACCTCTGAAGGAGGGAGGTGAAGAAGAGGAATAATTCCATCCTGGCCAGCTGCTCCCCGAGACACACACGCTTACCTGACGATACACAACAGATGAGTTATATACACACTATTTCCACTTTGACCACATGATAATGCTGCAGCTCAGAGTCTGAAACAACCACAGAACACAGTAAGACTTGAAACCTGATTCCCTCTTATGTACAGGAAACTGTTAAATAACATATAACTCAGTTTTAGAGACTACTGACTGACCTGCTGAAAAGGGGAGGAAGGCCTCTCTCTTCCTAAATTTGCCGTCCTGGTCCAGAAAATGTTGAGGGTTGAAGGAGTGTGGAGTTTCCCACATCGTCTCATCACGTAGAACCGAGATCAGCGTGGGCAGGACAGGGGTGCCCTGAGAAAATGCCAAGAATGAAAACAGTTAACGGAAGTACTTCTTCTGGTGAGTTTGTTTTAATCAGTATTGGAGTCGTATCTCAAAAAAATCAATGTATAACACATTACTCATTACTGTTTTTACACCTTTACGAGAATGGGACATGCATACGTACGTATGGACAACCCAAACATGTGAGCATAGGTTAGCAGGTGCTGGACTAGTGGGCCAACTCTGCTTTATCCGGTGGTTTTACCAGTTTTAATCACCTGGTCTGTTTGTTTTGGAGAGGAGGAAACCTCTGTGGATAATTCTGCTCCTGGTAAGAACCTCCTCAACAATGAACACTGAAGGAATCCTGACCAGGAGAAGTTTCAGCTCGGTGCAATCTGCAATCCTGACTAATTCTCCCTAAATCTTACACATTTTAAAGGTTGTTTCATAAATTTGTATATTTGAAAACACAGTGTAATGAAACGCAGAATGGCTCAGAGAGAGTAATTTTTGAACAATGAACATTTCTGTGTTTCACTGGCACAAAAGGGGGAATAATTAACAACAACAACAACAACAACAAAATTATTGTTATTTGCTATCAGCCAAATTCTCATTTTAAACATCGGTACTGGCCCAGAATTTTACCATCAATGCACCAGTGGGGGAATTTTGAGACAGTTGGCCTGGAAACAGTTATGCAAGAGGCCCCGCCACCACCCATCTCTTACAAAGGAGCACGACACACAGACTTTGTGGTGATTTTGCCTCTTTGGTTGTTGCTGTTTTGCGTCTCCTTGTAATCTTTTTTTTCCCCAACTTTGTTTATTGGTTTGAATTACAGTACATATTACAAGTTTCGGTTGTGCTTCTCCATTGAATGTAGGTATTAACTTTTATGTGCCCTGCACCCCCAGGAGATATGAGCAAAGGACAAATTACGTGAAGTTTGAGGAACACCACACAGACTGGTAATGACATTAGGAACCCTCCTTGTGGTCAATTTGTGTCTCTCTCTGTGTGTTTTGCCCCGTTTTCCACTTTCTTTGTGTCTCTTGAGGTCTTTTGGGTCTTTTCCTGATCAGTATACGTTAATATGGGGAGTATGTTCCAGGTGAAGGCCAGAGGGGCTCCTCTGTTCAGTAATCTATCCATGGTTCCCTAAATGTAACGCTTAACGTTGCTCACATATTGTAAAGCAATCACATGTGCATCATGTACCTTTGGCAGTGTGTACTTGTCCAGTGTGGTGTCCTTGTTTGTCATGTGGAGCAAATTGAGGGGAAGAATGTCGGCCATCCTCTGGATCTCATGGATGACGGCATCAGTATAGGGCATGTTTTCTCTGTCAGTCATCGAGGGCTGTTTGGATGAACCAACGACAGTATCTATCTCAGCCTGGACTCTCTCTGCACACAGTGACAACAGGAAACAGAGTGAGGCTGTGTTCTGCGTGGACGACTGAGGGACCTCTGATACTTGTCAGGACACTTACAGTTGGGACAGATATTACTCATACATACACACACCTTGTATGTGAGGGTATTAGATCATGTACAGCAGTCCCCAGTGTAAAGTCGTGGTCGTGGTTTCAGTTCCAGCAACAAACAGGTCCAGAGCGCAAAAACTCAAATTCTCTAAATCAAAACCAGAGTCTTTGTCCTTCATCTGTCAATATCACAAAGGACAGTTTGTAGTGTCGGTTGACATATTTTATCAGCAGATGCAAAGAGATCAAACACAACACAGACACGTAAAAAGACTCACCTCTTCCATCTCAGTGAGGAAGCAGTCGATGTAGTCTCTTGGTGAGGACGGGTCAAAGCTCCCTCTGTGTTCGTTGATCTTGGCTTGTACATAGTCAGTGATATATTGTGTCAGAGTGAATATCCTCCTGTGAGGTCCAGGCAGCCACTTCATCAGCCAGGGAAATACGTTATAAATCTACAGAGTCAGTCAGAGTCAGTATTGGATTTGTCAAAAAACACAACCCATAAATCACAATGAATAAATATTGCAATATAAAATTACACACACTGTGATAGAGGATTTTATTTATCACTTGTGTCACGATATACACCTGCGCACCACCAGTATACACACCAGTCGCTGTGAATATTAAAATGAATGATGTCTGAATTCCATTTAGCTGCTTCAGTTTCAGAGTGCTGGTGTTGTGCGTGGAGACTCACTGTCACACTGTCATGGGACACTTTAACACAACGTGGTCAACATACACACGTTTGTTAGCAACACCTGTGCTTTTCCTACAGAGCAAAATATTAACAGTGAACAAACCCTGTGAGTCAACATATCTGTCTGCTCAAAGGTCTTCTCTCAACATCAGGCATTCAAAGAGAGGATCATATGAGTGTGTGTAACTTTAAAAAATTAAGATTATTATGTCGATCAAGACTGGTCTAAATATAATATATAATATATAATATAATGTATAAATGACTTAATCTTCTGTACGTAACAAATAATTTTTCTAAGTAAAGTCAACCTAAATTTCGCAAGTACACCACCTTAACACAACTAAATTGACTTCACTTGCAAAATGTATTTTTTACACACGAAAAATTAAGTTTATACAAAGATGAGCCTCGCTTGATCTGCATAATTATCTGATGCAAAGAGTTGCCTTAATTTTCTTAAGTAGATCAAACACAATATATTTTTCATCCTGCCTCTACGTAAACATATTTAGCATAATCTTACTATATAATGACGAAAACTCTGTCTGTGTGTGTGTTCCACGTTTTTCTCCTCACTGACTTGGTCAATCCATGTGAAATTTGGCACAGTGGTAGAGGGTCATGGGAGGATGCCAATGAAGCAATATTACATCAATTGGCCAAAGGGGGGCGCTATAGCAACCCATTGAAATGTCAAACTTTGAATGGCCATATCTCATGCCCCGTATGTCGTAGAGACATGAAACTTTGCACAGAGATGCCTCTCCTCATGAGGAACACATTTGCCTCAAGAACCCATAACTTCCGCTTATATAGATTTTCCACCATTTTGAATTTTTTCACTTCAAATGGATCTCTTCCTAGGAAGTTTGAGCGATCTGCATGAAACTGGGTGAACATAATCTAGGGACCAATATCTAAAGTTCCCTCTTGGCAAAAGTTGGAAAACTTACTAAAACTGAGCTTCTATAAGGCAATGAATATTGCGGAGGGCGTGGCTCATCACATAAAGGTGTATAACATCTCAAGGGTTTCACCCATCACCACGCAACTTTGTAGGCATATGACCACACATAATCTGAGGGGACCCCTCCATTATTGACCCCATCAAACAAAATGGGGGCGCTAGAGAGCTCATTTCTTATCTAGGCCTAACCGCCATATGGATTTTTACTAAACTTGGTAGATATGTAGAACAGGACGCCTCAAGGTGACTGGAGAAATTTAACTGTAATTGGCAACTGGGTGGCGCTATAACAACAGAAAAATGCTTCAAAATGGCTAAAATGCGACCGATCGCTGTGGCTCCCCCTGTGGACCAATGTTGGTGTTTTCTAATGTTTGGTATGACTAAGTCATGGTATGGTATGCTGTACATAATCAGGGAAACTGTCAGTGTGTCATTCTGTCAGTCAGTCATTCTGTCTGTCCCACGTTTTTCTACTCACTGACGTGGTCAATCTATGTGAAACTGCACATAGGCATTGAGGACTGGCATAGGTAGAAGGTGACAAAGCTACCAATGGCTATGGACTAGTTATTATTATTTATTTATTTGTTACTGTATTCCTTCTCTCGTTGACTTTTTAAATCTGTTGTTATTTTCTCTGTCTTTGCTTGTAAGGTGACCTTGAGTGTCGTGAAAGGCTCTCTCTCTCTCTGTCTCCAGCTGTCAATGTCTGGGGCTGTCAATCGAGTCATCAGCTGTTCTACAGCTGATCGACAATCAGCCAACAGCACAGCAATGCATCATCTCACATTTTGAGTATGGTTCTTTTTCTGCCCACGGTCCTTTCATGCTGCAGCCTTGGTACCACCTCCTCTTCTAAATCACCTCCCAGTCTACTCTGACTGCAGCAACCATCACCTCCACCAGTGTCTGGACTCCATGGGGGATTCATCCTGCTGACATTCAGATGTCCCATCATCACAAATAATCTCCCTCTGGTGTCCGAGCACCAAAGACTTGTGTTAAATCTTATCAGCACAAATCATCTGTTAATCTGTACAGATACTTTGTGCATCCTTCTGTCTCTCCTGATTGAAACAGCCTTGAGGATTACACATTGCAACCAGCTGACTTCTCCTGGTTAGGATTCCTACAGTGTTCACTGTTCAGGAGGTTTTTACTGGGAGCCAAATTATCCACAGAGGTCTCATCCTCTCAGAAACAAACACACCAGGTGATTAAAATCAGTAGAAACACTTAATAAATCAGTTTTACTTTACAAATCAGTGTTTCCTCCTATGCTGTTTGGCACATCGCAGATGGGCTTCAAACTACGGTGGCTGACACGAAAATGCGAATGGCCCTATCTGGAGCAAGTGTTTGGTTTGTCTGTTCTGGGCTACTGTAGGAACATGGTGGTTCAACATGGCCATCTCAATGAAGGAGGACCTGCCTCCTATGTAGATAAACAGTTCATTCTAAGGTAACGAAAACAAAACAACTCTCATTTTCAGAGATTAACTGTTATGTTCAATTTCTGTCAATATATCAGACCTGATTTTACAAAGATCACTGCGTCTTGTTTGCAAAGGAGGCTCACCTGTGCCCACATGCCTGCCTCTAAGTACAATAGCTCGTTGAAGATCTGAAGAATATTCTGGTGCTGCTTGTCAGTGTACTCAAAGCGTTCTCCAAACACCAGGCAGCAGATGATGTTGGACACAGCGTTGTTTATCAGTGTCTGGGCGTTAAACGGCTTCCCTGTAAAATAAAGACAAAATGTAGACAAGAAACGCAGGAAAGTCAAAACATAAAATGCACATTAAAAGTACTGAGTGTGACATATTAATTGTGGATGATTAAGCCAAATGAAGCACACAGGTGCAGCCTGTTAGATCATGAGGCAGGGAAACACAGAGTCACATGGTGCATGCTTCTGTTGCAAAACTGAAGCACAGCAGAAGAGAGATCATGCTCTACAAGAGGCATTATTACTAATTAGCTGTTGCTTGTTGAAAAGTGAAATGTGCTCAGTGCCTTGCTGAAGGGCAAAAGCCTCAATGAGATAATGGCACTCCTGCTGGATGGATGGCTCCAGCGTCTTCTTGCCCAAACCGAAGTTTTTGAGTGTACGAAGAGCAAATCTCCTCTGCTCCTTCCATGGAGGGCCGTTCGATATCACCAGACCTTTGGAAACACAAAACAGCATTAGCACAGCTAGCTGAATGCTAATATGCCCATAATGGTTTGATGCTACCACTCTAACTAAATACTAACTTGTGACTTTTTAAACACAACACAACACACACACCTTTTCTCCCATTTATTTCTTCAAACAGTGGCACAGAGGGGCGATCTGTGTAGTCCTCTCCTCTTTGGACCAGGGCCTCTCTCACAAGCTTGTAGCCATATAGGACTACAACTCTTCCACCAAAGATCTGGAGGCTGAAAATGTTTCCATATTTCTCTGCAAACTGAACACACAGAGCAGACTGGTGTTTTGGTTCACTGAGGATGACACACAAAAAAATAAGAGTCTAGCTTCAGAGGGCTGCAGCACAAACATGCACCTGGGTCACAGGTTAATGTTTAACCTCTGGATTTGACTACTGTAGCTTCTTTAAAAGTTAGCATTGTTGATACCAGCGGAAATGTTTCCTCTTCCATCCTGAACTCTGTTGCAGTTATTTTGAGATACACAATGACCTCTGACCGGGTGCAGAGTGGACTCAGCAGCTCTGTGGACAACACAGTATTAATCCTGCAACCACAATCATGAGTTTCGACTCTAATGCAGGAGTGACAGCTGGGAAAGAGGGTGGTAAGGAACCCTGGCAATTTAGGCAATTTGTAAGAATTCTGCTGGTCTGGCACATCGGAGAATCAGTGTGCCAGAATAGCTTCAGGGTTTTTTATTTGTAGGGTTGTGTGTTAGGGTTGTGATGTCAAAGGTACTAAAACAGAGCAGGGGGAGATCGATAGACAGACACAACATGTCACTTAGATCAGTGTGTGGTTTAACACAGGACCCTGATCCCCCCCCAACCCCCCTTCTAAAGCCCCTTAGCGGCTATCAGGGCACTCCTTAGTTCACAAGTATAATGCTGGCATGCAACTTATTTGATCTTTTGTAAATCCGTTTTAGATTTAAGTAAATGATTAACTACCTTTGCCACGGGAAAATGCCTGAAACATGTTGTCTAGCAGCTCTGAAATGTTGCTCTCTGGATTTTTCTTCTACACCCAGATGTATTTATTTAAGCATTTAAAAATGCAGAAAGTGATGTACAATGTTATATGAATTAAGGCAAAGTAATACACATTTGGAAAAGTGTACAAATCTATCACAGTGAATACAGAGGTAGACGTAGGTGTGTGTGTTTTTTAAAAAGCCTCAGACATTTTATTTCACTGAACGAGGTGTGACACCGAGCAAAGTCATCAAGTGCATTTACTCAGTTATTTATACCTACAGTTCAGAGGGAAATATTACTTCACTGCATTAATATTAATCCCACTCCATATTAGAAACTGTGCAAGTCTTAACAGTTTTAAACAGTCTCTGAAGACATGGCTAAAAGAGAATCAATCATGCCATCATTGATCTTTGTATATAGAATGTATTTTGTATGATGTTTCCTCTGTAATGTTGTTGATACTGTTGTTTTGTTTTTGATATTGTCTGTAGTGTTTAGAATGTGTTTTATTGTCTTTTTAACTTCCTGCCCAGGGACCACAGATGCAAATTAGCTATTTAGCTAACTCTGGTATAGAACCTGTTCTGTACATGGTCCCTGTCAACTAAACTAATAAACTAAACTAAACTAAACTAAACTAAACTAATATAATACCTTTAGTTACTTGAAAGTTTCAGATTAATAATACAAACACCAGTTAAGATAATATTTTGTTGACCCTGAAGGAATTTAATAGCTGTCTTTACCAGCTGCAACAGCAAAGTGATGGACACACTAATGCATCAATAATTATTATTCAATAATAAATTATTCTGAAATGGGCCATTCTGCATCATGACTACATTTTCTTTTGGTACTTTTAATATATGTTGATGCCCACACTTTCAGACTTTCACTGTAAATTTTTGAATGAGAACTTGCACTTAAACAGCGTACTTGTACACCGTGGTGTTGCTACTTCTTCTGTAGTTAAAGTATCTTTGTCCACCTCTGAGCACTCTGATACATACCTCTCCCATCTGCAGGTGGATTCTGCTGGGATTAATGCGAAAAAGGTCGCCAATGAAAGGAAGAGCCCACGGTCCTGGAGGAAAGTTTGGTGGCGCTCTGTTCTTCAAAACATGAGCCAACAACAGAAAGACACACAGAAATATCAAAATACTCCTGCTGTCCATCCACTCAAAGCCCAAGACACTGTGTAATGTCTCCATCTCTTAGTGTGTTTACTTTACAGAGTTAACTCTGCTGCTGTGACTGAACAGTGCTCAGTGAAGTCCAACAACTGGGCGTGATGTTTTTGCAGTCTTCTCAGTGTGCCTGACCTTCAAAATAAAAGCACAACACATAGACACAGGAATGTTTTGGCACTTTAGCACTAAGGGGCCATATTCACAAAGTGTACGAGTGCTAAGAGTCGCTCTTAGTGACAAAGTTCTAAGAAGATTATTAGAATTGTGATGTTTTCTTAGAAATTCCCCCTTAAAGTTAAGACTGGGTCCTTGTAAAGATAAATGTTATTTACAGAGCATCTCAGACATTAAAAGAGTTCTTAAGATGAAAAACTGTTAGGAGCAGGGAGGAGGACTTCTGAGAGTTTCTTAAGCCCCTTTTACACTGCCAGATTTTCCGCGAATGTTGGGCAGTTTTGCCGGCAAGCTGTGAGCGTTTAGACACACAGAGCCGGATTGGCGAGTTGATCCGAGGTGCCCAATTTTCCGCTTCGTAGGGTAGACATATTGGCGGAACCCTTTTAGTTTAAACAGACAGAGGCGGCCTTCTGCAATGGGAGGGGCTGTTGAAGACTTGTGGGAGGAGCTGATGACACAGCACGTGCGAGCCACTGGCGGTGGATAAACAGGAAACAGCTGATAGCAGGAATTAGCGAGCAGCTAGTAGCAAGAGGGAAACACAAACCTGACAGACACTGTAAAGATGAGCAACTGGGGAGACAAGGAATTGTGCTCCCTCCTTGTCCTTGCAAACGAAGAGGCCATTAACCGTCAGATGACGGGGACGGAGAAGAACAGGCCGACTTACGAGAGAATCTCACGGCTTCCCTCCCACTTCACGGTTTACGTCACACGCTGAGCTACACGTTTTGTTACTTGCTCACGCCCCCCATTGCCCCGAAAAAGGCGCATTCTGTATAAACAAAAGTAGGTAGGCGGCATTTTGCCGCACTCCCCGATTTTGTTTTTATACTGCCAATGCTGAAAAAAGACTGACTGGGCTTTCCTGCAAATTTGCACAATTCCTATCTAAAAAGAGCTTCTATCAGAGGAGAAAATGGTGGAAACAGTGGTGGTTCTAGCCTAAATGGCGCCTTGGGCGACACCCACTATGGCGCAGTCAATTGGAGCGGAGCCTGTGTTGCTTTCAGGCGTTGTCACGTAAATTACAAAATCCAGCACTTGCCGCCCACACTTTCACAGTCAGCAGTTCATTTCATTTCCACAAGGTGTCCACACCTTACAGGTTTACAAAAGGGTGTGTCTGTTACAACCAATCACACCGGTTAAAGGAATGCATCATACCTAGCAACCGGGTCGACCACACCACCTCTACTACTTTCATGTTTGCAAGCACATGTTCTAAATACTGAGGGCAACATCCCCCCTGTGTCCCCCTGAAATCTACACCTATGGAGCAAGTAGAGGTGGAGCTACCTGTTACTACTTTATATACTACTGTGTAGCTTCATCTTTAATAATACAACCTACTTTATTACCTCCGCCAAGGAGGTTATGTTTTCGCCACTGTTGGTCTGTTTGTCTGTTTGTCTGCAAAATGTTTGTATGCACATGTTCTAAATACTGGGGGCAACATCCCCCCTGTGTCCCACCTACAACCTACTTTATTTACTGATTGTATTTCAATGGTAAAGGTGAGGGTTAGGGACAGGAAAAGCATTATGTCATTAAGAAGTACAGAAGCAAAATCATGAGGTGGAGGTGAAACGTCTCTTCTTCCTTTATCACTGATTATTAACTCCGCCAAGGAGGTTATGTTTTCACTGGCGCTGGTCTGTTTGTTTGTCTGTCTGTTTGTTTGTCTGTAAAATAACTCAGAAAGTTCTGAACGGATTTTGATGAGATTTTCAGGAAAGGTGGATAATGGGAGATGACAGATGATAAAATTTTGGTGGTGATCGGTTGAAGTAAAGTGGATAAAATAATAAATAAAGTCTATGGTCTGACAGCCTCAGCAGCAATTAAGACGGTGAAAATAGCGCCATCTGGTGGCCGGAAAGCACGTCTTGTTCTACTTGCTAAATATTGTTGTAATTCTAAAGTTGAAATTAATGTTCTGTGTTGGAAAAAAAGAAAGTTAAAATTACAAAAAAACATATTATATTCTGTGTTGGTACAAAATAAAAACGTAATAAATACACCACAGTGTCTCCATGGTGAAGGCATATATAACCTAATAATGATAGTAATGCAAATAACCTAACTGTGATGCAGGCTGCAAAATCTGATGCAGAGGGGGAGGGAATATCACCTACTTGGCAGAGGTCGGCACTCTCTGAGTGCTTTTCTAGTTACTGAATTATTTTACTGCTGCAGCCTTTGATACTGGGTCAGAAGTAACTCGTATTTTGAGATCATGACACAGCTATCTACTCAACACAACTGTAACATACACCAGTCTGCATAAAAATACATCTATTGTACAAGGTAAAAACTTACACTGTATTCCAGATTACTAAAATATTTTTACTGAACTGATCAGGAAGCCTCCCTGTGTCCATAATACACACTGCACACACAGTCAACAACCAGCTGGAAGAGCTCAAGCTCCAGCCTTGTTTTTCACTTCAGAGGTTGTGAGAGGTCACCAGCGTTATGCAACACTATGGGGCCTTTTTTTGTCCAACTTCCCCCTCTCCTCATCAGATAACACCACAGGCGCCACCATCCTGTCTGCAGGAGCAAACTGATTTCACAGAGGGCCTTCTGAAATATATTCACAATGATTTTTCAGGCACTTTTTGATTGTATGGACTTCACCGGCTGGCTGTTGTTGGGTTTTACTGTGTTACTCCTCACAGATTTGATCAGAAACTGGAGGCCACACAGCTTTCCCCCCGGACCCTGGGCCGTGCCTTTTCTAGGAAACATCTTTACAGGAGTCGACTTCAAAACTATGGAGAGGGTGAGAACGGTGCCGTTTTGTTTTCCAGTAGAGATGAGTCGAACCTTTAATATCTGAGCGGCAATTTGAGTTGCAGAAAGTAACCTTATCAACATGACAGGCAGATGGAATAACAATGAATAAACACCATTAAATTGCAACTCAAAGGGTTGATACCACCGCATGTTAATGTTTTACCCAAACCAAAGTTTTATATTGTGATACTTTACACTGAGGGTAAACTCTGTATAAAATGAATTTAAATCTCAAATAACAGTAATAAACATCACTACAAAGGTTATTGATATAAAAGGGTATAAAAGCTAAAACAATTTTTTGTCAATTGGGATTTAAATGTTAGTTTTCAGAGAAACATGAAACAATTTACAAAGCTCATAACATGCCGAATAATCAGTGACAAAATGCAGGTCAATACACGGAAAATAAGTCCTGATTAATTTCATATGTCAACAATCGTGTATCAAACAAGACAAACTGCACCAACACCGGGGAACACTTCAAAGTTAGTCCTTTTCCATGAAGTGATCACTTGTTCCCTCTTTTTAATCATTTCACCTGACAACAACTAAATTTATTTCTATCCAGTATATGGTTCATATGTTGAAAGAAAACAGTCTTTGTGAAATATTCCCTCTCCTGATGAGTAACTTGTTTTTGGATGCAGCTTACTCAGGAGTACGGTCCAGTGTTCAGCTTGAGGAGAGGCGGCGAGAGGACGGTGTTTATTTCAGGATACAAGATGGTCAAAGAGGCTCTTGTTAACCAGCTGGACAGCTTCGTTGACCGCCCCATTGTCCCTCTCTTCCATGTTATCTTCAAAGGGATTGGTGAGTATTTGTGAACAAGTGAATGAGAGCTTGTCTGTATGGTACCACAAATGTGTTTTGATGTATCCAGAGGTGGTGCCAGATGTTGTGAACATCCAAGGCTCAGTCCAAACTTCGGCAGGTCCAGGGGTCATGTTCCACTGGGGAGGTTTTTCCCCCATTTTCAGCGGCTGTTTGCATTTTTCAAGCCATTTGAAATAATACGATTCCTAAAAATCTGTACATCATTTGGACAAAAAATATCTGCTAAGGAAAAGCCTACATCCTATTTTGTATGTAACTGTTCTCCAACTGTCTTCATCGTGTGATGGGGGTAGAGCTTGGTTTTAAGTCTATACCACCTTCCTTTTAAAAGTTATTCGGGAACATACCTTCCCGTTTGTGGACCTGACTCCTTGAGTGTCGAGTTCACCCACTTCCCCACGTCCTTGAAGGTCAGGGATGGGCTCTATTGACGCAGAAGGGCAGAAAATGGGAGAGTAGAGCTTAGTTTCAGGTCTATACCACCTTCCTATCAATAGCTATTGGCGAACATACCTTCCTGTTTGTGGACCTGACTCCTTGAGTGTCGAGTTCACCCACTTCCGGACGTCCTAGAAGGTTGAGGGTGGGCTCTATCGACGCAGAAGGACCGAAAATGGGGTAGTAGAGCTTAGTTTCAAGTCTATACCACCTTCCTATCAAAAGTTATTCGCGAACATACCTTCCTGTTTGTGGAACTGACTCCTTGAGTGTCACTCTAATGTTATGACAGACAGCAACAGACATAAAGAAGGAGCACAACATATACACCTACACCTGCTGATCATTCCTCAACCCTGACCTTCCCCGTACCCAGGGGTCTCTCTTGAAAATTCTCGAAATTCTACCATACATGTATTAAGTATCTCAATTGTGCACTATAGGGTAGAAATAAAGACAAAATACAAATACAAATTCATACCATTTTTCTAGCTAAACTGAGTGCCTCCTTCCGAGGCTCCAGCATGATGTAACCTGCCCCCTTCATCCTAGAAAAAGAGACCTCCACAGATAAAATCTCTATGAAAGAGTATTTCTACTGCTGAAAAGAAAGACTGCATGGTGGCTCCCATCCAACCGCCAACATCTTTTCAGCAGCAGTGCATGCTGATAACCACAACTGTCTTTGAGTGTCATTAAAGTTCTGCCCTGAGCACCTAAAATTGCACCCAGAAACTTTAAACTGATGGACACTCCCATATGATATGTAAGAAAGTCCCCAATTGATTCAGATCACATGAGGTTTAGTTTGGAGAAGTACTAACGCTGCTCTGGTGTCAAATAAGTTTGAAATATGAAATGCAGGTTTTTACGCTGGGGGAGGGTTCACAGAATGAATGTTTACTTAAAAATCTGCTACACTTGAATCACAGGTGAACCAAGCAGCAACCACAGAGGCTGAAAAGTGAAGCCAAAGAGGACGTGCCAAAAACAGGCTGACTCCAAAACAGGGTATAGACCCATAAACATCAATGTTAATATGCCCAAATTTACAGCCAAAACAATCAATAAAAAAAAGTTAGTAAGAAGTGACGTACAGGTTCAGGCCATAAACCCTATGAAAGCACTAGGGCTGCCCCCAACTAAGAATTTTCCTCGTCGGCCAACAGTCCTCATCAGGGTCCATCAGTGGACCAACAGTCCTCATCAGGGTCCATCAGTGGACCGACAGTCGTCATCAGGGTCCATCAGTGGACTAGTCTCCTGCATGTTTCTGATATGAATGTAATGATGAAATGATATATTTTGGTGGTTTGAGTTGAAGGTGTGAGAAAGAATAGTATCAGTAACATTGTTAACACTGTGCTACATTACAGAGAAATACAAACCGTACTAATGAACCTTCATTAATATAGGCCTATATTTTATCTCCAAGTGCACGTCACACACTGAGCGAGCCGCCTGTTAATGACGCTGTGGGCTAATGGGCATGTAGCTACTTCCATGTTTCAGATGATACGTCATGTTTGTAGTCGACCAATGAAGATGAGTTTACGTATCACCTTGGGTTCGTCCTTCACCTTCTCAAAATGATCCCACACTTTGGATTTCCTGCCCGACATGTTATTAACTAGCCTGTGGAATAACCGCAGGTACCAGCCCTGGAAATTAACCTGACTCTTGTTTGAAATTCCCACATGGTCCAGGTGCAGCCTCTTATAGAGTTTCACATTTTATTTCTTTTTTGAGACTTAGCGACCAATGAAATCTTGCCAACCAATGACCTTTCTGGTTGACTAACATGTGGTCAACTATTAGGGGGCCGACCTGGAAAGCACATTTATAAAGAAGTGTTTTTAAGAGGAACTCACCAGACTGATGTATCGGTGAGTGCTGGTGTTCTGTTTCCCTCAGGTATAGCTTTGAGCAATGGTTACCTGTGGAAGAAACAGAGGAAGTTTGCCAGCACTCACCTGCGTTACTTCGGAGAAGGCCACAGGTCCCTGGAAAAATACATTGAAGTGGAAAACAACTTCCTCTGTGAAGCTTTCAAAGAGGAGCAAGGCAAGTAGAGATTCATCTGTTGACTGACTTTACATCCTCATATGATTTATCATCACCTGAACTGAATTCAACATATTCCCAGGAAGACCATTCAACCCCCACTACACCGTAACGAACGCAGTGAGTAACATCATCGCCTCTGTGGTCTTCGGACATCGCTTTGAATACAGTGATCAAAGCTTTCGCAAGGTTCTGGAGTTGGATAATGACGCCATTGTGCTCGCTGGCGCCTTTCAGACTCAGGTAATTCCTGATCTGCCTAAACTCACAACAAACGGTGCTGCTGGTCTGTAACTGATATGACATTTTGTCCCATCAACAGCTGTATGATGCCTTCCCTGGCTTGTTCAAATACCTGCCAGGACCTCACCAGACTGTCCTCGCCAACTACACCGAGATCTTGGCTTTCCTGAAAAAGGAAGTGAAGAAGCACCAGGAGGAGTGGAACCCAGACGACCCTCGTGATTTTATTGATGTGTACCTGGCAGAGATGGAGAAGGTAAGATATTCATGTAATCTAAGTAAGGCTTCCTGGAATCCTGGCAAAGGACATGTAAACAGGTTATCAAGTCTCAATCCATTAGAAAGGACTGATCATTAATCAGTCCCTCTTGTGATCGCAATAAGTAACGCAAATTCAACGTTCATTTGCAGGGGCAATTTTTCAAAAGTCCCACGATTTTTCCGCATTTTCCAGCTGACCGGAAATCGTCATGCGTGCAACGTCATCACACGCATCATCAAATCCCGCTAATGGCATTGCAGTTCTGATCTCAACAATGCTATTTCATCAAATTTCTTGGCTTAGCTGTCTAATTTATGGCTAACTGGCCCAACTAAAATATGATGAAGGCAAAACTATGATATTCTATGAATTAGTGCCCTATGAATTATGTTACGTCATTTATCTATAGTTATGTAATTAACGTCAAATTATTATGGTTAGGTTAAGGAAAAGAAACATGGTGAGGACGTTCGCTTATATGAATCACAGTGCAAACAGTTCTGCACATGCGTCTCCAGGGAAAAGTCTGGGTTTTTGCCGTCCATCTGACACCCCACTCTGCCTTCCTACAAGACTGCTCGGAATCGCTTCCTGGTTTAGTCCCCGCATTGGTCATGTGATCACAGTCTTTCATATTACGAGGGATATGTACACATTTTCATGGAAAATGTACAAACAGTTTGTGAGAGCAGCCTGACTATAACAATGTGTGTAGCATGTATAAATGTACTGTTCAAAACTTCCCTCCATCTCACCAGTGCCCAAGGAGCTCTTGATGCAAGCCAGAAGGAGGTTCGCGTCATTGGGCAGATTTTCGCCAGCTGTGGGGCTGCTGCTAGAAATACAGATTGTACTTCCTCATTTTGTACACCTGCTGCCACCATGGACACAGAGTATAGAGGTGGATGGAGAGAGAGAGTCATCCCTCTCTTTCAATTTCAATTTTTAAGTAACCCACCTGTTTACATTTTATTAAGGCTACAAGTGTCAGTAAGGGCAAGGTCGCTTCAATGAAAGGTTGTGTGCGAGGTGTGTCATGGAATGGTATGGTATGCTGCTGCAACAAGGGCTAGCCGCACCTTTCCCATGTGAACTACCAGTGCGCCCACTTTTAAGTCAATACAACATATAAACACTTTAACTATCTGCCTTTCAACGTGCTACCTCAACTACTAATGTACAGTTTTAGCCCACTAACTATCCCACTATTGGCAATGGTACTACTGTACTTTCAATAACGCAATCGTACTATCAAATTCACAAAAACTCTGTCTGAATACATTGCTCTTCTTAATGGGTTCAGTTGACTATTTAATCTGCAATTTCCTATGACCTGTATCCCAAACACACACCATGTGAAGCTGTACGTGGGCAACTGTGCACTCAATGGGTATGGACTAGTATAGTAAATGACTACATTAAAATGTCATTTTCCATCTACAGTATGGTTAATAATATACAAGGTAACCTATGACAACACAGCACAATATAATTATAATATAACATTGCTGCCTCTTCCAGAAAAAGGAGGACCCTGAGGCTGGCTTCAACATTGAAACCCTTCTGGTTTGCACCCTCGACCTGATTGAGGCTGGTACAGAAAGTAGTGCCAACACTTTACGCTGGGCCCTTGTGTACATGATGCACTACCCAGAGATACAGGGTTAGTGTCTTATTAATTATATTTAGCACATGAGTATTCTTATAAAGATTATACACGTTTTCCATCAGTGTCTAATGACTCTGCTTCCTCACTTAGAGAAAGTCCAGGCAGAGATAGACAGAGTGATCGGACAGTCTCATCAACCCACCATGGCTGACAGACCCGACCTGCCTTACACCGACGCTGTCATCCATGAGACCCAAAGGATGGGGAATATTGTTCCCCTGGGATTCCCCAAAATGGCCAGTAAAGACACCACACTGGCAGGATACTTTATACCCAAAGTAAAGGACGATTTACTCAGGAATGAAAGACAAGCTGTAAAATTTGAAAATTATTTATACACAACTGATATAAACATCTCATGACTGTTTTTCCAGGGCACAGCTGTCATTACAATCCTTTCATCCGTGCTGTTTGATAAGAATGAGTGGGAGACTCCAGATATCTTCAATCCCCAGCATTTCTTGGATTCAGAGGGACAGTTCCGCAGAAGAGACGCCTTCTTACCGTTTTCAGCAGGTTTGCTCGATATCCCTCCACTTTCAGTGACACTGTTTAGCTGACAGGATTGGGCTGCCCCCTGAGAGCTGACCAAATGTGAGCCGACCAGAAAGAAGGTGAAGGACGAACCCAAGGTGATATGTAAACTCATCTTCATTGGTCGACTACAAACATGACGTATCATCTGAAACATGGAAGTAGCTACATGCCCATTAGCCCACAGCGTCATTAACAGGCGGCTCGCTCAGTGTGTGACGTGCACTTGGAGATAAAATATAGGCCTATATTAATGAAGGTTCATTAGTACGGTTTTGTATTTCTCTGTAATGTAGCACAGTGTTAACAATGTTACTGATACTATTCTTTCTCACACCTTCAACTCAAACCACCAAAATATATAATTTCATCATTACATTCATATCAGAAACATGCAGGAGACTGTTGGTCGACTAGGAAACTTCTTCGGTGGGGGCAGCCCTGTTACTGAGATTGCTACCACCAACATACAGTTCATGATAGCAAGATGTGTATTATGAATCTAGTAACACAAAGCTGCTGTGGACTTTCTTTCTCACAGGTAAACGTGTGTGTATAGGAGAGCACCTGGCCAGAATGGAGCTGTTCCTAATGTTTACATGTCTCCTCCAACACTTCACCTTCTCTCCTGTCCCTGGAGAGATGCCCAGCATTGAGGGAGTCATGGGCTTTACACATTCCCCCGAGGAGTTCAGGATGCTAGCTGTGCCTCGCTAATGTGCTTCCACCTTTTCTCATCCCAGCATTAGCACAAAGCATCAACGTTCTCCACCTTTAACTCTAAGATCACATATGTGATTTGCAACTGAAAACTAGTTTGCATAACATATGAGCATTATGCACCACAATAAATGATTATAAAAACAAAGAAGATCATTATGTCCAGGTCAGGGTATATTGTGAAGGATTTAGGAAAATATATTTTATCATTACGAAGGTGTAATGAGAGTTTACTCTATTTGCCATGGCAGAAGAGAGCAGCAGCGTCAGACGGCCAAACTTCTCCCAGGAGGAAACTGATGTTTTGGTGCGGGAGGTCCAAGCTCACAGTGTCCGAATATATGGAACTGCGAGCTGACCTCCACGGGCTGATGATGCAAAGGTAGCCTGGGAGGAGGTCACCACAATTGTAAATCAATGTTGTGTTTCTCTCGTGCGCGCGCGCTCTCTCTTTCTCTCTCGCAGTCTCACTCTGTTTCTTTTCTTTTGGCTTTTCTAAGGTGACAGATGCTGAATATATACTCCCTATCTGATGCTGTGGCTGTTTGTGGTTGGCTGAGAGGGATGTGAACTCATTAGTTTGCAGCTGTGTTAATCAAATCAGGTTGGGTTTCCATTACGTGTGCCAAACGTGCCAAACGGTGCCAATCCCCTTTGATCTGGCATCAGATGTGACGGGACAGTCGATATAGAGATACATTTATGTGCTGATTGCAGATAGTTGCATTGAATAGTGGTTTTTGGGTATTTATTGCATCGTTAATGTGCCTGATATTCTGGAAACCTGCCTGTGAGGTTTTGGTGACGTGTGCGCACTGTCCGCCGGTCAGCCAAACTTCGGCTTACACCGGCTGCACTCCGCCTGCGCTGACAGTAGACGTGGTTTCAGCTGGCGAGCTTTTAGCGCACCTTCGGCGAAACCTTTTGGCACGAAACTGTCACTGCGCAATTGTATTACATATTCATATATCCATTAGATCATATCTGATGTATTAGCTCCACATTAGTAAAGCATGCCATTAAAGATGCAAAATGTTCCCTCTTTGCTTCTGCAAATGCTGTATGCATCCTCACTGGAAAAAGATAAAATTTATAAAGATGAGCCTCTTTGATTTTGTCACTAGTGAATGAAAACTGTATTCTGCTGCATGTACATGACCATGTACCTTCATATAAAGCCATGCCTTGGTCATTTTTACAGATTCTTAACAAGGAGACAAAAGAAGTATAACCGTTACACAATATACCACACAGTGCTCTGATTTTCCCTTTAAGTGACGTGACAGTTGTCACTTGATACCTGTATTCTGTTAATTCAAACTACCTCTTCAATTAGGTAGTGGACAAAAGTTGTAAATATGATTTTCTAAATCTGTTTAAAGATGTTTGTTCTGTTCTTAAATCAATAAATGATTTTGGTTGTATTCCAGTGTTGTCTTGATTAATGTCAGTTTAGAGAAGTGTTGAAAAGGTGAGCACCAGGGAGTAGCTTCAAAAACACAATCTCACTGTTTAGACAGTATTTAAATTTGTAGAATGATCCTCAACATTTCTTATTGGAAAATCTTTTTTGACAAATATAAGTGAATCCATTGGAATAACAGTTCAAAAACAGGCCTTGATCTGAACTCTCAGGGAGCCTTTTCTCCCCACTGACTTTATAGCATATAGCCCACATTTCCACTATTTCTACAAGACTACAGCCTCTTTAGTTTTGTATTGGTCCGACCTATTACCGCTCATTTACACATACCTGCACAAAGAACCAGTGACATTTATCCCCACTGCACTTTGACCTGTCGGCTGGACTTTGTTTACACTAGAAACATCAAGTCTCATATCGTACACACACTGTGTGTTATATCTCTGAGCTGATACTGGTTTTGCTGATGCATGACTGCCATTATACTAATAAAGATAATAATTTATTATTATTACTTTAGGTATCATCATTTGCATGGCAGAGATTGTGTTTACAGAGTCTGTAGCTGGTTATACAAGTAATACACGTCACACACCTTTGTGCTGAGTATTAATTAGTCATTACTGTAGTTTGCCCTGTCATGCCAGTGTGTACTCACAGGGTGTGCTGATAATCATAGGGTTAATGCACATGTGAGCAGGCATTACATAATCAGTGTTTCACCAGGAAGAAGACAGTCCCAGGCGACCCTGCAGCTGCTGGTTTAACTCTCTCTAACAATGTGGCTTTATAATTTTTTGCTGGGTTTTGACCTCAAGGGGCTCTTCCTGTTTATTTTCATTTTCATCCTTATAGCAGACTTCCTCAAAAACAGGAATCCTCCAAATTATCCTCCAGGACCGATGGCTCTCCCCCTTGTGGGGAATTTCTTCAGTGTGGACAGTAAACATCCACACAAATATTTTACCAAGGTAAAGTTCAATATGTGCATGATGTTATTGTTAGCTGCAATTTTTTTATATGTTTTAGTACATTTGAACTGTATTTAAGGGTTTTGATTCATCAGTGTTTGTTCCTGGATGTATTGTCCCCAGTTGGCTGACATCTATGGCAACGTGTTCAGCGTCTGCCTTGGTAGTGACAAGATGGTGTTTGTGTCTGGGTACCAGATGGTGAAGGAAGCCTTAGTGACACAAGCCGACAACTTTGTGGATCGACCATACAGTGCAATTGCTGACAGGTTTTACTCGGGAGACACCTGTGCGCTAATCTCTCTCTTTCTCTTCACATCTGCTGTGCAGCAATTAGTAACCTGAGCCTTTAACACTGTTTCCTCTGCATGCTTGTGTCTAGGTGGTCTGTTCATGAGCAATGGTGAAACATGGAAAAGACAGAGACGCTTTGCCTTGTCTACATTACGTACCTTCGGCCTGGGCAAAAGCACCATGGAGCAGAGTATCTGTGATGAGATCCGATACCTGCAGGAGGAGATAGAGAAGGAGAAAGGTGGTTCACATAATAAGCTCATTGTCAGCAGCTGTTTAGCAGTATAACATTGTCTAAACAGTGGACTCCTCTCCTCCAGGTGAACCTTTCAGCCCAGCAGGCCTCTTCAACAATGCTGTGTCCAACATCATTTGCCAGCTGGTGATGGCAAAGCGCTTTGACTACAGTGACCACAACTTCCAGATCATGCTGAAGTATATATCTGAAGCTATTCGGCTGGAGGGCTCTGTATGGGGTCTGGTGAGTCAGTAATATCCATACATCCATGATTGGTAACTGCTTATACTTTACAGGGTTGCAGGCTGGAGCCTATCCCAGCTGTCATTAGGCGAGAGGCGCCTATGGAGGAGGGAGTACACCCTTGACGAGTTGCCAGGGCTGACACATAGACAATAGAAACAAACAGTCATTCACACATAATCAGTCCAAGCTGCATGTCTTTGAACTGTGGGAGAAAACTGCAGAACCCAAATTAAAACCCACGCTCAGGCACGTTCACAGATAGACCCCAGGTGATTCTCAAGCACCTGCCTTTTTGCCCTCTGACTAGATAAGTGCCCTTTTTGGGAGACATTTCTTTTCTATTTATTTTTCTAATATTTTAGTTTTAAATTTGGCCAATGGCATCAATTTTCCATTAAAAGCATAACGCCTGACAACCGCATTTGAGTTTTAATTCTGCCAGACTGCAAGAGCCCCTGCCCCTCCTTCATCAACTTCCCTTGTCACAGTCACCACAGTGCTCTGCAGAGCAGCATCACTCCTTCCCTGACTTGCCTTCATGGACAGCCAGGTATAGATAGTGTATGCCCTAAGCCTTGGAATTGTTTGAAACTGTTATGAGATTAAACTACTATAAACATCTCAATACACACCCTGATTTAGGCAATAACCCACCATTAAGCTTAACAACAACAAAACCAGTCTGCTGTAAAATCACACCGTCTCTCTCCAGCTTCCTGGCTGATCCTGGTTCAACAACTGCCCGGTGCAATTGGTGACAGATGCTGAATTGCTTTCCCACTTCCACAAGTCTTTGTTAAGATCTCCCATGCCCAGGGGCGGAAATCCCGGGGGGGACAGGGGGGACATGACTCCCCCTTCAGTAAAGCTGCCCCCCCCCCTAGAATAATTTGAGACACAATTAATAATTTTTGAACAATGCAGTATTTATTAAAAGCACAATGTAAGCGGTGCTCATTATAATCGCGCAATAATGTGCTATTTAAATCTTAAAAGATTCAGTCCCCCCCTCCCATTCTTAGTAGTGGTATATCCCACATGCTTTCCAATGGGCGGGGCTGCTTGGCAACAGTAGCAGCATGTGGCTGGACCCGCTGCCCACATCGCAGGGTAAGATGTTCTCTCACACAGACACAGTTTAACTTACACAAGTTACAACACATCCCATTTACTGTTACAACAAGCCCCAGGCCCAGGCTGATAATATAAACTGTCTGCAACATTTCTCCTGCATTGTTCAAAAGCCTACTCAATTACGAGTGCTGCTAAGCTAAAAGCTAATGATTAAGCTCAGAGTTTACCTGTCAGTGAGACAAACATGAGAGACGTGCAGTCTATCCGAAGAGGAGCGGTCATTACGCGCGACTATTACGCACGGTCGTGAGATGCGCAGCGGCAGATCTCACTGCACACTGTTTATAAACCAGTTTACCAGTTTAATTGCAGGAAATGTTTAGTTTAAGCCATTTCTCATAAGTATATATATTCACTCTGCCTGTTGGAGAGATAGAGAGAAGATTAAAGCATCAAATTGCGGTAAACGATGCTGTATAAAAGACAGGCTACAACTTTTTTTCCTTGTCCCCCCCTGGAATTATTCTCTAAAATGTTACTGTTTATCGTCCCCCCCAACTATGAAATGGGATTTTCGCCCCTGCCCATGCCACAGCTCTGATAATTCATTTAAATAAATCTGTAATGTTGTTTGGTGCTGCACATGCCTTGTGCCAAGAGGGCAGAGAAGGAGAGGAGGAGCACGAAGCTGCAGCCGTTGCAGGCGTCTGTTCTCTGGGATTCTTTAAGAATAGGGATACACCGAATATTCGGTAACCGAATATATTCAGCCGAATATTGCAAAAAAAACACACATTCGGTATTCAGTGGAATAAGTGAAAAGCAAGGCCGAATAACAGCGACGTGTTTTGATAACGCAATCAAACAGCGTGCGGTGACGGACGGAGTAAAATGTCGGCAGTGTGGCGATATTTTACTCCGTCTGTCACCGCACTCGCATTTGCGACTAAAAATAGTTTTGTGCAAGCAAAATAAATCATTCAGCACGCTGTGTGAGTACAGATTTCAACCAGCAGCAGAAACGAAACGGCAAATCCCGCCGGTTGTGGGTTGAACGGGGGTCACAGACACGGACAGGAATACGTATTCCTGTCAAATACGGCGGCGCATGATAACGGCTTACTGGCGACGGAGAAGTCCGGCTCCAGGTGAATAACTTGTTGTCATGACAGCCCAAAAGCACCTGGACAGCCGAGCCATGGCGGCACACAGGTATGTGGCGTGTCAGAGGAGAAACGAGCCGTTCACATTACTCTCTTTGTGGCAGGTAACCGTCCACAAACCTCACCACACTTTAGGGACTGTTCTTTACTTATGAAGGGACTTGTCAGGGGAGGAGGGTGGCTGGTTGATTTTTATTTTATTTATTTATTTTATTTTGATCCCCCCTATGTTAATCACTTATTGATGCTGTTTTTGAAGTATGAATAAGCCAATAAGTAATTTATTCCATTGAAATATCACTGATGTATTATAGAAAAGTGATTTATCTTTTTATAAATGACAAAAGGCACATCTGCCTCATTTTTGCTGTGGTATCGTGATACTACTCAGAACTGTGATACTTTCACTGGTATCGTACCGTGGGTCCCAATTTTGGTACCGTGACAACACTAATCTGGAGGGGGTTCATCTGCAAAACTAATGAAAAACTAAAAAACCGCATTCGGTATTCGGCCAAGCGTTTAATTTTATTCGGCTTCAGCTTTGGCCACAAATTTTTATTTCAGTGCATCCCTATTTAAGAATATTTAAAGTTTATTTAGAGGATAATTTAAAGTATCAGTATGTGACTATTTAATAAAAATCATGAATTTAAATTTATTTCTGAACCAACAGGAAATAAAGTATTTAGCTGGATTGCTGGTTAAATTGAAGGGCTCTGATGGGAAAGTGCCAAAAAGAGAAAATATAAAATATGCCTTTAAGGCCTGAAGAAAACAACCTTGTTTGTAGGAAGCTGAATTTGATGTAAAGGAACAAAAAAGACTATTTTCTCTTCAGCAGAAAAATTCACCAGTATGCAGGGCATTAGGTATTTGAGGCTCAAAAACTTTTTTTTGCTTGAGCACCTGCCTCCATGGGACTGCCCACCCTAACATGCGGAGAACCTGCAAAGTCCACACAGAAGGGCCCAAACCATTTCATTGTATATTGTATATATTTCAGATTGTCTACTTTAGTATTTTATTATTTATTTTATTTTATTGTCTACTTTAATATTTTATTTTATTTTATTGTCTACTTTAATATTTTATTTTATTTATTTCATTGTCTATTTTAGTATCTTATTTATATCTTCATCTTTATCTCTTGTTTCCATTCATGCTGTATTTCTATTTCTATTTTGCACGGAGCATTGGAACAAAAACAATTTCCCCACGGGGATTAATAAAGTATTCTGAATCTGAATCTGAATCTGAAAGCAGAGATTGAATCCCAACACCCTTGCTGTGAGGTGAAAGTACTAACCACTGCACCCTCAGTGACATACACTTGGTTTAATCATTGTCAGAGAGATAGACAGCCTTGTGGCGCATTGTGGAGGTTAACTGATCGAGAGGCCCATGTCTGTTGTTTTAACACAAAGGTGAAAAATGATATGAATGAAATTTACTGTTTTCTCCTGAGTAGCTGTATGACTCATTCCCCGGAGTGATGAAGCACATGCCAGGTCCTCACAACAGAATATTCAGCTACTACAACACCATCCTCGACTTCATCAATGAGGAGATAAAGAGCCACAAGAAGGACCTGGACCACAGTAATCCCCGGGACTACATTGACGCTTTCCTCATTGAAATGGAGAAGGTACGTGAACAACTGAACTGTACAACACGGTGCTGTACTTCCTGTCTACTCACCAGACCTGCACTATGAACTTCTGTGTATTTCTGAATAGCACAAAGAGACTGACCGGGGCTTCACTGAAACCAATCTGGCTATGTGCTCTCTGGATCTGTTCCTGGCTGGAACTGAGACAACTTCCACCACTTTGCTGTGGGCTTTGATTTACCTCATCAAAAACCCTGAGATCCAGGGTAGGTGACATGCTCAGCCCCAAACTGAGCTAAATCTGAAACAGCAAGGAAACAACACTAAAACATTTCACAGCCATGCTAATGGCTCTGTGAGGCAGTACATGGGCATCACAATGCTTAGAACTAAATGCTAACATCCACACGCTAACATTTCTCACAATGACGAGGCCAACATGCTGATATTTACTAATCAGCACTGAACACAAAGCACAGCTGAGACTGACAAACCTTTCCTCACTCCGTTGCTACAAGCTTAATTCTTTCAATCATCTTGTTTTCTAGACAAAGTCCAGGCGGAGATAGACAGAGTGATCGGACAGACCCGACAGCCCAGTATGGCAGACAGACCCAACCTGCCCTACACTGACGCTGTCATCCATGAGGTCCAGAGGATGGGAAACATTGTTCCTCTCAATGGACTCAGAATGGCCGCCAATGATACGACACTGGGTGGTTACTTCATACCCAAGGTGCATCTAGCACACAGTCATCCACAAGTCCAAGTCTTCACAGGTTTATCTCTGAAATATGATTGTTGTTGATGCGTCATTGCTTGGTGTTAACCTAACATCTTGTTTTTAGGGTACAACCTTGATGCCCATCCTGACCTCTGTGCTGTTTGACAATACTGAATGGGAGACTCCAGACACCTTCAACCCCGGACACTTCCTGGATGCTGAGGGAAAGTTTGTGAAGAAAGAAGCTCTTCTTCCTTTCTCTGCAGGTAAACAACATTCACCTCGCCTTAATCTTAAACATCATCTAAACCACAATATAAGTTCTCCTCTCTTACACCTTCATGTGTGCATGTGCTTGTTGACTCTTCAGGGAAGCGTGTGTGTCTCGGAGAAGGCCTCGCCAAGATGGAGCTGTTTCTGTTTTTGGTTGGTTTACTTCAGAAGTTCACTTTCTCTGTTCCTGATGGAGTAGAGCTGAGCACAGAGGGAGTTAGTGGAACGACACGTGTACCTCTCCCCTTCAAGGTTTACGCCAAGGCTCGCTGAATTTTGTAACATCTCACTGTGTCATTTTTCATCTAAACAATGGGCAACACACAAGACTAAGCAAAATGCTTAAAGGGACAGTGCACCCAAAAATGAAAATTCATCCATTATCTACTCACCCATATGTCGAGGGAGGCTCAGGTGAAGTTTTAGAGTCCTCACATCACTTGCAGAGATCCAAGGGGAGAGGAGGTAGCAACACAACTCCACCTAATGGAGGCTGACGGTGCCCCAGATTCAAATGTCCAAAAACACATAATTGAAACCACAAAATATCTCCATACTGCTCGTCTGTAGTGATCCAAGTGTCCTGAAGCCCCGACATAAAAAGTTGTTTGGAAAAACATCATTTGAACTCTGTTTTTAGCCTCATTGTAGCCTGTAGCTCTGGCAGTCTCTCTGGGCACTGAGCTCACGTGTGTGCACTTGCGAGAGACCGTGAGACATGGGCACCGCTGGTCTTGTGCAAGCACGCACACGTGAGCTCGGTGCACAGAGATGCAGTCAGAGCTACAGGCTACAATGAGGCTCAAATTCAAATGATGAGGTTCAAATGATGTTTTTTTTCCAAACAAGTTTTTATGTCGGGGCTTCAGGACACTTGGATCACTACGGACGAGTCTTTGAGTGCTTCAAAGGTAGCTCCGGCCACCTGGTGGCACTTTTTCACTAACTACGTCAACATTTCGGCTGGGACATGAACAGCCATAGTGATGGAAGTAATAGTAATACTAATTAAAATAGGACAAGAATGACTCGATGACATCACATACATTGTGAAAGACAACCAAGGATGATTGGTTGTGGACCAAGTCATGGCACGATTTGATGACTCCACAATGGCCTAATCTGACACAGTGACTGTTGGAACAGACAAAAATGTCTGGTTGTAAGAACACAGCGTGAGGCAGTTTAGAGAAAGCTGCAGTTTCTTTTCAATCTTAGTCTTTCACTGTTGTATGATTGCCCCATGTACTTTTTCTTCACTCTGCCAGTTCATTTAATTCTGTGTCAATAAAACATTGTTTTATTTAGATATTCTTGTATTAATGGCACTGAGTTGTTTTTCCTTTGTCCTTCTTATTAAATATATCAGTAACACCTCTGCTTTTTCTTGCCGATGCAAAATGTCTTCTGAGTAAAAGCTGAAATAAGAATAGATTTGTTAATGCTCATGTCACACCACTAAAAAGTTCTGCCTCGCTCAGAATACTAAAATATGCACAACTAAAATATGATTTAAAAAAAGGTCAAAACCTTTTCACACATCAATATTTTTTGTTTGTTTGATCAGTTTGCCTTCAAAAACTATTCAAAAGTATTTACAATTGTTCATCAATCACACCACGTCTCCTTCCTTCAAGACGTGAAACACAGAATCACCCTAAAACTCAACAAACGTCTGTGTTCATGTTGCAGTTATGGTGAACCTGAGTTTCAGTGAGTCTTGCTTGTTGCTTTATGTGAGCACACTGTTAATGATTTACTCAGCAAAGAAGAGCTTCAGGGGTCTTTGCCAATTTTTAACCAGTTTTGTTTCATAACAATGTGTATGCATTAGATTCAGATAATGGACGTCACTACTGTGATGTCACCAATTTTATTGTGGACTGCTGTTTTGAAGTCTTGAGTACGGCGTTTCGGCCGTCACCATCTTGATGTCTTGAGGCCAGAAGTGACCATATTTTGATGAGAGAGTGGTGCTGTGAGATCAAGGGGTGGATCTGACTCTAGACTGTGGCCACGCCTTGCAGACAACCTGTCACTCTAGCGGCCCCGCCCTTAAATATGCTTAACTTTGGGCCTTAATGAAATGTACACAGGTGAGTTATATAAAAATTCAACCCCTGTACAGCTGTCACAAGTGTTGACAGTAGCTACAGAGATGAAAAACGTTTTTTTGTGCCAGGTTGTAAACACGTTTATTTCTGCTGTGATGTTTCAACACGGAGGTCTTTGGGGATCTGCTCTGCTTTGAAGTGCAGTTTCTGACATTTCGGCATTGGCTTCATTTTCCAGCTTTACAGGTTGCTGCTTGGTACTACATATAAATGAACTGTGGTAAACTTCCCTCCATAAAGGTTTGTGTCATCAGGCGGATTTTTAACATAGCTCCAGATTAGTTAAGCATGATTCTTCATGTCACAGTGCATAAATGTTCCCTCTCTGGCTGTTGATGCATCGTCACTGGAGCGAGAAAACAATTCTGAAGATTAGCTTCTTTGAGTTTGGTAGAAGAACGTATTCTGTTGCATATTCTAGGGACGTGCCATATTATCCTGTTCATGATGATACCAGTATTATTTTTATATCGTGAAAAATTCATATTGTGATACTCGCGATGACTTGTTGACATACTGACCTCCTACTGTTACCCACGGCAACAACAAGTATGGCTGAAAGCGAAATTATTACCGACTCTGCGGTGGTTCCAAAAGAGGAGCAGCTTCAGTAGTGTGGAATAAACTGTGGCGTCCTTAATTTTTTATGAACAGCCCCGGACTTCTCAGACTCTTTTAGTGACTTACCGCTCAGAGGGAACTCATTCAGCGGCTCCTCTGGCAGCAGCACAGCGTCTCTCCTCTTAAGTCATTTTAGCCATTTCTGTTGTTATAGCGCTACCCAGTTGCCAATTAGAGTTAAATTTCTCCAGTCACCTTGAGGCGTCCTGTTCTACATATCTACCAAGTTTAGTAAAAATCCATATGGCGGTTAGGCCTAGATAAGAAATGAGCTCTCTAGCGCCCCCATTTTGTTTGATGGGGTCAATAATGGAGGGGTCCCCTCAGATTATGTGTGGTCATATGCCTACAAAGTTGCGTGGTGATGGGTGAAACCCTTGAGATGTTATACACCTTTATGTGATGAGCCACGCCCTCCGCAATATTCATTGCCTTATAGAAGCTCAGTTTTAGTAAGTTTTCCAACTTTTGCCAAGAGGGAACTTTAGATATTGGTCCCTAGATTATGTTCACCCAGTTTCATGCAGATCGCTCAAACTTCCTAGGAAGAGATCCATTTGAAGTGTTTTTCAAAAAATTCAAAATGGCGGAAAATCTATATAAGCGTAAGTTATGGGTTCTTTAGGCAAATGTGTTCCTCATGAGGAGAGGCATCTCTGTGCAAAGTTTCATGTCTCTACCACATACGGGGCATGAGATATGCCCATTCAAAGTTTGACATTTCAACGGTTTGCTATAGTGCCCCCCTTTGGCCAATTGATGTAATATTGCTTCATTGGCATCCTCCCATGACCCTCTACCACTGTGCCAAATTTCACATTGATTGACCAAGTCAGTGAGGAGAAAAACATGGAACACACACACAGTTTTTATCATTATATAGTAAGTCAGAGATCCCAGGTTAATTTTTTTAAAATTTGGGAGCTGTTTAAATGTGTCATTTGTGATAGATTTTATTTTTGTTGAACTATTAATATTGTAACAGAATCTGAATCTCACTGAGTTACTGTTGTTGTTCACAAACTAAAGACATGAGAGATCATTTTAGTTTTTACTGAATATTTGAGGGCAAACTAAAACTATATCACTTATTTGTTGCAATTCTATGTTGTTAAATTAAATTAAATTAAATTAAGTCAGGATTTTGTTGAAAAGGCAAGCACATGGGGGTAGTTCTGAAAATACAATCTCACTGCTGGCAAAGTCTCAACATCTCTTATCTTTAGGAAATCTTTGACAAACACAAGTGAATGCATTGGAATAACTTATGAGAAACAGTCCTGCTTTTGAACCCACAGGGAGCTTCTTCTGTCAAGTGACCATGGTGCTAAATTCTGAGCCGTAGTGTAAAGGACACCTGATAGCATATGACCTACATTTTCTCATTGTGTGGAACGGTTCGTCCGACCCATTCCCATTCATTTACATTCAGCTGCACACTGGATCAGTTACACGGCTTTACTCCCACTGGACTTTGTATTGTTGGACGGACTTTGTTTACACTATGAACCTCATAACACATATATTGCTGAGCTGACATTGTTTTTGCTCCTGCATGATCGCCATCGTATTACCATGTTCAGGCATTATAACATTTCACTATTATTACTTAAGGTATCATCTTCTGCACTCCAGAGATCTTGTTTCCCACGGGTGTGTCTGTAGCTGGTAATTTAAGAAGTGCAGGTCACACACACACACCTTTGCGCAGACCCTGCATTAATGATTACTGAAGTTGTTTGTTCCTTCATGCCGGTGTGGAGTCGCTGGCTGTGTGACCACAAAGGGTTAAATCGAATGTATGCAAGCTGCATGTAACCAGTGTTAAACGAGGAAGGAGACAGTCGGGCATTTCTGTGGCTGCTGGTTTAACTCTCTTCAACAATGTCGCTTTTTAATTTTTTGTTGGGTGTTGACCTCAAGGTGCTCTTCCTGATTATTTTTATTTTTATCCTAATAGCAGACTTCCTCAAAAACAGGAATCCTCCAAATTTTCCTCCAGGACCGATGGCTCTTCCCTTTGTAGGGAATTTCTTCAGCGTGGACAGTAAACGGCCACACATTTATTTTACCAAGGTAAAGTTCAATACATGCATGTTTTGATCTTTAGGTGTCAAGTTTATTGAGACATTCTCAATAAAAAAAAAATATTGAGACATTCTCAATAAACTGTAAACTGTGTATAAATGTTTTAGTTCATCAGTTTGTTCCTTGATGTTTGATGTCCACAGCTGGCTGATGTCTATGGAAATGTGTTCAGCTTCCGCTTCGGTAGTGACAAGATGGTGTTTGTGTCTGGGTACAAGATGGTGAAGGAAGCCTTGGTGACACAAGCCGACAATTTTGTGGATCGACCATACAGTGCAATGGCTGACAGGTTTTACTCCGGAAACTCAGGTGCACAAATCTCTCTCCTTCTCTTAAAGCCCCCATCCAGCCAGTTTTACTTCGTATTTTGGGATTAACATTCTTTCTTAAACTGAGACTGGGGTGTGTTTAACCGTCAGACTTAATCCATTACCATAGCAACAAGATTGCAGCAACAGTGTTTTGAAAAACAGCAACATGGCATTTGATTTGATGAATTTAGTGTCTGTCAAAGCACCAATTTGAAAAAACTAAGTTTATCTGCAAAGATATTTAATTGGGACATCTCCCATTGTCATCCCTGGGCTAATGAGTTCAAATCCTTATTGTATCTGAACAAC